TAGATAAGATAATGGTATGGTGATAAGATAATGGCTTGGTAAAATAATCTTTACACATACAGATAAGATTATGGCATGGTGATAAGGTAATGGCTTGGTGAAGTAATCTTTAACTAATGCAAGATTTTACATATTTATAATTAATAAGTTATAAAATTGAACCTTAATTTAGTACTGACTTCACTTGAAAACTTTCATTTCATTAAAGTTTGCATAAACTAATACAAATGAGCTAGAGCAAGCAGTTGAAAAAAAATGTTGAAATACATGTTTGAACGCAAATTATGACACTATATACTTATTTTTGATGCCACATGTTAAAAATAAATAATTTTCCAAGTGAAATTTAAAGTGAAAAATAGTTCACAGTTAAGTATATGAAATATATACAGTATTGGGAAACATAGTCATTAAATGTGTTTGAATATCAAATATAGCTGCTTTGCAAATTTTTATACAGGTATGGCATATTTTTTTAGTCTAGTTTTTGTTGAAGAAACTCACTTCATGCACACTACTGAAAAATGAATTTTTACATCTCTATATTCAATATATGTGTGTGAAAGAATGTGCATATACTACTATAACATGCAATTCCACGTGTCAGTGTAAAGTTTAAGAGTTATATACGTATACAAAAATGAAATATAAATTTAGAACAAGTAAAGATTTCCCTCCCCTTGGCTGTAACAATGATGTAACCTTACATTTTAGATTTACATCTGTTACATAATAATTTTTAAATGAAATATTTCTAAAAATATATAATCAGTATTACAAACTATTGTACGTTGTTTGAAACAAATATGTTCTAGCAAAACATTTTAAATTGCATCTTCATGTGACAGTTCTTATAATCGTTCGGTCCTCGTTGACCAGTACTACACGATTCATGGGTTTATGCAGTACTACATGATTTTGGATAAGATGAAAATAATTCTGATTTTCCTGAGGGTTATGGAGTTATTTAAGCAACAGAATGACGGTAAACCTGCTAAGTCAGCGTTACGGAGAGCAGAGAAGATTTTCTGGGCTCTTATTAATAAGGAAAGGCTAGGAAGAGAACAGTTCTTTGATAGAAATCATATGAAGCAATATCCTAAAACTCATCCGATTGTAGTTGAATTTGTCAAAAGACAAAATGAGAGAAAAAGTAAGAGGATAGAAAAGTCGCAAAATACTACCTTCAAGATAGATGCACGAATCCGATTCTTTTGTTTCAGCTTCTTTTGTTTAGCAGCCTGATAATATATATATCATTTCTGCATTTTAGGGTAAGCTTGTATGGTAGTTTCTCTTTTATGGTTTTCATTTACTTTTAAATTTCTTTCTTTTGAAAGTAATGGAGAAAGTAGTATACCATAATACAGAGAAATCACATATTTTTATAGACTATTAAAGAAAAGCTCATGAAAAGCTTGAAATATTTAAGGCATATGGAAAAATTTAATTCTAGGAATTACGGATTATGTGATTACCGCAAAGCCCCGAGGGATAACAACAGGAGGGATCCCTTTGTAGAAGATTTTTTTTAAACCGGCTCGTATACCAGTTACAAATGGGGAAAACCAAGAAAACGTCCCATGTAGCCAGCCCGTTCGCGGCATTCTAACCTGAGACAGAACTACCAGTGTTCAACGACGCTTCGGCCACTAGTAGGCCCGTGCACTTAATTGGAAAGTGCAATTCATTATGTAAACAGACATGAAGGTGATAATCAGTTGTGCGCTGTTTTAAGTAATCAAATGTTATAAATGCACAGCTGTTACATTTCTTATTATTTATTAGTCATGTTTTATTACGTAGATCATACGTATGATATAATTATGAATTAAAACCCAATAACAAAATGTGTACACTCTTTAGTAACTCAAATACTCATCAATTATTTTTCAACTGATTATTACATACCCATAATAATTTGCAAAGAACTGATAACTATAGTTGCTGCCAATTACATAATCGTTATCTGAATTAAAAGTAACTTCAAATAAACTTTTTGGCAATGTTCATTTTTGTATTCATACATACATATATATACACATCTAATAAGTCATATATTTACATACAGATAGAAAGATGCGATGGTTTTAGAAGTTGTTAATATATATTTATTAGTATTAATGTAATGAATAAGATTTATATTAATGAATGTATATACAAATGTTTTTCATCATGCATAATAATAAATCCATAAATTTTCAATGTTTCAATATGTAGCATTTACAATAAAAGTATAGTTTCTAATGTATTTTATAATTCCAAAAAGTATTTCATTAATAACATGAAAATAATAGACAAATTTAATGAGTATTCTCATTATTACATAAGCTATGCTTTTCTTTTTTATGCATCTTTTATGCTGTTTAAAATGTGTCACTGATTATGCAATTAACAATTTAAAAGATAAGTAATTAGGAGAAAAGCCGCGCATATACAAACGGATTTTAAAAAATTATTCAACTTAAATTTAAGAAATAAAATTCTATTATATAACAGTGATAATACACGATCAGCACGAAATACGACAAATTTGGCGAACTTTTGGCGACGAACAATTTGTAAACAAATCCGAACTGCAAGAACGTCGTAAAATACTGTCAACTCTGAAATTTCCACGATTATATATTTAATGAATATATACACATTTAAAAAATGACTCAGGCAGTTGTATTACAACAAAACAGCAATAATTAAATCGGCCTCTATTTCCACCGTCCATCACTTCACAGTGAGAACCATCGCCATATTGAAAGTTACCCGTGATCCTTCAGAAGCAGAACTTTCGTCTGATTGGTTGAACGTTCGAGGAACACGTCTCCAGCCGGAACATTTTCGGAAAAGTTTTAAAATGTTGCTCGTAGCCGAGACATGTTCCTCCTAGCTAGACGAAACATTTCTCGGAAGCCTGCCGCTTAAAGCCGTACTACTAGAATCTCGTTTCTCGGAATTGTCCCAGGTAAGCGCGCGCGTCTATAGAAGTGATAGGGCCATTACGTCTTTGCAGATGAGGTTTTTGTCGCACAGACGTCGTTATTGCATCTTTATTAGGTTATATTTCGCTTGTGAAAGCATCGTATCACGACGTCTTAACGACGCCTAAATGTTAGCAGAATTCGACCTTTTTGCAACAATTGTGAAAAAGTCGTTATTATGTCCTTGTGTTACATATTGATTTATGCCGAAAAAATAAGCTTAATAATTAATGTATTTTTCTTGTTTTTTTAAAATTTTGTATTCCTTGTATTTTTCTAAAGTTTAAATATTTTATCATTTTCTGAAAACCAGAAGATAATACAATTTTTTCTCTTTAGAATAAATATGCATAATTATTAATAGCCTTACTTATTTTCAGTACTTTAAACTATATTTTTTTAAATAACTTAAATTCCAAGTCACTATTATTTAAGATTTCATAATTTTTCCCCTTAATCCTTTAGTATGTAAGTGAGAATAATTATGGAAGCGGTTATTATAAATATATAACATTAATAGTAGTTTTTAAGTAAATAAAACTCAAACAGACATAAATAAAGATATATATATGAGTAAGCAAAAGAGCGTTTCTGATTATAACAGCATTATCCCATTTATTTCTGTTAAATCTCAGAGGCATTGAAAATTGCCCGGTCATGATAAATTAGGAAGCGGTTCTTAATGTAGCATAATCAGTATTTTACCAGAACTCAAGTATAATTTTTTTCGCGTTTTATAGTAAAAAATATAACCATTAACTTCTATATCTCCAAGATATGCAAGTGAAACACTGTATAAAGTAGTTAATAAATGTGATCAAAAAGTATTTCATACAAAAATATATCTAAATCTAATAACCCCCCCCCAAAAAAAAACTTCCCATATCCATATCTAAAATGAAATAATGACCTAACAAACAACATACATGACAGCATTATTTAAGAAAAAACATGAACTAGCAGTGTTTGAAAGTATAAATAAGCAGAAGGAAGGTAACAGAACTAAAATTTCCAATTAATAAAAAATTATTCGTGTTTTTTAAATAGTAAGCATTTAAAAGTGAAATAATTATGGATTGCAGTATTTACTAATAATGTTGATAATTTTTAACACAATTTCTTTCGATCATATGTTAATGTATTTACTTATTTTTAGTTTCTACATTTTAGAATAGTGGTAGATCACAATGATTATTTCATGCACTTTATATAATCAATAACTTTCCTTTTGTTACTGTACAGAAATAATTGAAATAATATAGTATACGATAGTAAGCTAAGTACGTTAAAGTAAGCTTTTCGTTAAGTAGCACACGATGAAACTTTTTGTTTCTATTTATTATGAATTTCTCTGTTATCACAAGCACATAAAAAGTAAGCGAAGAAAATAGAATATACTTAAATTTAATAAGAAATAAAACCTAATTTCCAACATTCATTTATTGAGATAATCTAATAAACATACACAACGGCAATATTAAAAAAAAAAAAAAAAAAAAAAAAAAAAAAAAAAACGCGAATTACATAGTGTTTAGAAGAATAGATAGCAAATGAAAAGTAATAAAACTGCAATTTGCAATCATTAAAAATATTTAGTGTTTTTTAATATTACACAATTAAATGTAACATAATTATAGATTACAATATTTCATAGTAATGCTAATGTTTCCTTAACACTATTTTTTCGATCATACATTTCATAAAATCTTTAACCTTTTCTGCATACTATACAAAAGACAACGTAATGTAGAATGTTCATTATTATTAATGAATAAATGATGCCTAAAAATTATCTTTATAGATTAGGAGAAATAAATTAGCTACTGAATCAAAGGGAAAAAAAAGAACTATGAGGTTTATTTAATAGTCTTTTAGCAAATTTCCATTCATTATGCATCATCCGGAAACACATCAAACTACAGTACGTTAAGTGTTTCAGAACTTTGATTTATACGTGTGAACATTTCACTATAAAACAATCATTTTCATGAATTAGTCATTTTACGATATAGAGAAATTACTTACCACCTAATCGCGAATCACTATGTCTTTGCTTCTTCAGTTCTTCCAGTTGCTTATGTCTGAGTTCAGCTATGTCGATTTCTTCTTTGACCATGGTCTTAGGACCAGGGGTACTTTGTGGACCTAAAGCAAGGACTTGTTCTGCTACATCCTGAGGAGGCCAAATACCATTGATCAAGGGTAATCTTCTGGGACCATCTCCATACACGCTTTGTGTGGTTGTTTGGTCTCCCCAGTTGAATAACTGGCGTTGCTTATCTAGTTTTGAAATTTCTTCATGTCGATCATGTTTCCGAGAGTAATGAATAAGGGTGTCATGCCCTGATGGCTGATTCGTGTGATGAAGACCTGTAAACAAATAGAATATATTCGTATTGTTATCATGCGTAAGCCTGCCCTAGTGCTTTAACTGATTTGAAGCATCGCGTCAGAGAAAAATAAGTTATTTATTAAGAGCTACAGAAACTGAATTCTGTCATATTAATTTTCAACACATTAATTCGTTATCAAACTAAAGTTCATTTTCAAGTCTAACTTTATGAAAAGTGTTTTAAGTAAGTAAATCGAGATAGTTCAAAAATATTTCCGTAATTATTAAAACTTACGTTTTTTAATTGGTATGCATTCTGGAGCAGCTTCTGTCCAAACGTTATTGACACAGTAGGCAACGGGTTTGCCTTTCATTAGATAACCAGGATGACATCGGAAATGAACTAGTTCTCCATTGCGAAAGATGAAGCTGAGGCCATTGTCGGGAGCTCTTGGAGCTGGACAATTCAGGTTGTTCCATGATGTTGCTCTCACGTAGCCTGGAATTCAAAGAAACAAACCTAATTTAATATAACGCACACTGGTTTCGGAAAAAACACTGGTATAAATGCAATGTTCATACATGAAAATGTCAAAATTGTCGTGAAGAGGCATTAAGCATAAAACTAGTGCATATAAAATCTCTGAGAAATTTAGTTACAAACTTCCATAAATTTTATGCAGAATACCTATATAAAGTTCAACGAAATTTTATCTGTAAGTGCTGGATAATTTCAGTTTCTATTGATTATCTCTTAGTCTTAGGTTTAATTACACAGAAAATTTCTGATACTCTTCCATAACGATTCATGTTTGATGATGTATGAAATCATGACTTTCAGTCTCCAAAACAGATAAAATTTCAACGAATTAAGTGTGGCGTTCCGACAGATACTTCAACTTCTATTCATGAGATGGCGCCACGTGTAAAATCCAGTTCTTAATCGGAGCAGCAAAGCGACATCTTTACTCACTCAGACTTCTCGTCACACAACTGTACGCGAAGGTAGCATGAACTGTGTTCCGAGCTCTGTGTTGATCTCTTCAATGTAATTTAAATTGTAATTTAGTACTTAATATATTCTTTTGTTATAGGAGATTGTCTACTCTTATTTTCTTTAATTATATCATGCATTAAGCACACACGACCACCAAAAGTGGTGACCTTTTGACTGAGCACGCTACTGACAATGGATTTTCAACGACCCTAAGCCACGTGCATCCAAGGCATTCTGAAGAACTGACTAAAAATAACAACGAATATGGACATTAAACGTATGCTACAACGTACCCCTTCAATTATTTCTAGAAGTATTGATATATATTGCTTGTGTTTTTTTTTTCAAAGTCGTGCATATCATCGCAAGGAGCTTCAGCAAATCATCAATGTGATCTGTTCCGTTCCGCTGACTTCGCCAGTCGTGCAATAATTCTTCGATCATTCAACTTTTGTGACAAATGTGCTACAACATAGTGATTTTCGCTAAATGTGCTACATCAGTAACTTTTTCTGCAACGTGCTACGGCAAAATTCTTCCCTCAGTGTTCGAAAGTAGTGAATTTTTTTCCCATGTGCTACAGGAGTGATTTCCTTTTTTTCCTTCGAAAGTGCCTTAGCAGTGTGAAGTGGTGATTTTGTGTGTGCGCAATACAAAATGAACGCATCATTTTTTTTTCTCAAATAGGGGTTTCTTTTTTCAAATGCATTTCGGTAAAATATTATTTGTGTGTGTAATTGCTGACCCTGTATTATTTGTGTGTGTATCGTTACGTAAATTTTTTCTGCATGGTTAAAATATTTATTGTTATCATGGTAAAATATCAATAGTGTATCCTCATGCTACAATATTTGTGCTGTTAAGTGTTTTTATTAATTAAAGTGAAAATTATCTATCAGTATGCCCCGACGATATTCCACCAGAGCCACAAATCACACGCGTTGCGGTGAAGCCACCGCCTTTCTGGAAAAATAATCCTTCATTGTGGTTCGCTCAGATCGAAGCACAATTTTCTATCGCTCGCATTAGTGAGGATTCTACAAAATTCAACCATGTAGTTGCAGCAATTGAGTCTGATATTCTGAATTCAGTGCATGACTTAATTCTCAAACCACCTGATTGTGATAAATACTCCAAACTGAAACAGCGGCTCATTGAAATCTATTCAGAAAGTGAATCTTCAAAAATACGTACTTTACTACAAGGACTTGAACTTGGAGATCAGCGACCTTCATACTTGCTGTCACGAATGCGTGATCTGGCAGGAAGCCATTTTAGTGACGACTTGTTGAAGTCACTATGGCTTTCGCGTCTCCCTAATAACATACAAATAATTCTTGCTGCTTCCAATGAAGATCTAACCCGTTTTTAGCAGCAATGGCTGACAAAATTAATGAACTTGTTACTCCAGCTTATGTCAGTGCTGCTAATGCTGCACCTTCCAGTTCATCCCTCGAACAACAAGTGGCTGAATTGACCAAAAAAGTATCTGAACTCTCTACAAGTCTTCATGCTTCACGGAGATACAATCGATCAAATCAGGGCCCACGTAATAAATTTCGTGCCCGAAGCAGGAGTCAATCTCGTCATAATACTCGAACGCAGTACAAAGAACCCACAAGTGGCATATGTTTTTTTATCATATGAATTTTGGCTCTCAAGCTCGCAAGTGTGCCCCTCCATGCACTTTTGTACAAGCGGGAAACTAAATGGGCGGTCTTCTGCTGGCCAACAGAATGTCCGCCACATCGACAGAATAGTACTGGCTGATCGTTCAACTCAGTTTATGTTTTCTAGTAGATACTGGAGCTGACATATCAGTGCTCCCGAGAACTAAAACAAATGCTCACCAACTTAATAAACTTGTACTGTATGCAGCCAATGGTACCCAAATTGCAACCTACGGCACCAAACTATTGACACTTGATTTAAACTTGCGCCGGACTTTCAACTGGCCTTTTATTATTGCGGATGTAACTCAAGCAATTATTGGTGTCGACTTCTTGACACATTTCCACCTTCTAGTGGATGTCAAGAATAATTGCTTAATTGATGCTACAACTCAGCTGACATCACAGGGCCAAGCTTCTCACATATCAAACGTACCTACCAACATAAGTGTTTTTTTATCGGGCAGCACACGGTTTCATCGGTTATTAGCAGAATTCCCTGACATTTTAAACCCATCCAAATCAGGGCAGCATACTCATCAGCCAGAAGTGTATCATCACATTGAAACACATGGCCCACCTGTATTTTCCAAGCCTCGTCGTCTTTCTCCAGAGATGCTAAAAGCTGCTCGCAAAGAATTTGAATTCATGCTAGCACAGGGAACCATTCGCCCATCTAAAAGTCCATGGGCCAGTCCACTTCACATGGTTAAAAAGTCTAATGGTGACTGGCGGCCTTGTGGAGATTATCGTCGACTTAATGCCGTCACAGTCCCTGACAGATATCCAGTCCCACATATCCAAGACTGTACCCATCTTTTTCATGGAACAAACATATTTTCTTTCTACCCTCGATCTTGCCAGAGCATATCATCAGATCCCAGTGCATGCTGAAGATGTGCCCAAGACCGCAGTGACTACACCATTTGGTCTCTTTGAGTACTTATATATGCCATTTGGCCTTCGCAATGCTGGCCAAACATTTCAGCGTTTCATACACCAAGTACTGTCTGGCCTCGATTTCTGCATCCCATATTTTGATGATATCCTGGTTGCATCTACAGATGCGGAAGAACATTTTCAACATCTGCGTCAGATTTTCACTCGCCTTAAAGATCATGGATTAAAACTAAATCCATCCAAATGTGTACTTGGTCAACCCTCAGTTTCCTTTCTTGGATGTCTTATCACCCAGAACGGAGTTAAACCTTTACCGGAAAGAGTCAAAGCAATTAACGACCTACCTCAGCCCAAAACCATCTCTGAACTGAAGCGTTTTCTAGCAATGTTAAATTTCTACCGACGCTTTCTGCTTTCTGCCAAATGCCGCAAAAACACAAGCCTGCCTACATGAGTTTCTGAAGAATAGCAAAAAAAAAAAAAAAAACGATCAACGAGCTGTCCCTTGGACTGAATCTGCATCTGCAGCATTCGTGCAATGCAAACACGATCTGGCAAATGCAGCCACACTTTCTTATCACTCACCTAGTGATCAGCTCTCTATAATGGTAGATGCATCTGACACGGCCATAGGAGCAGTGCTTCAAGCCCATACCACTAAAGGACTTTCCCCAATGGCATTCTTCTCCAGAAAACTTACTACTGCAGAAAGGAAATACAGCACATATGACAGAGAGCTACTTGCTGTGTACTGTGCTGTTAAATACTTCCGGCACAACTTGGAAGGACACGACTTTCATCATTTTCACCGATCATCGACCATTAACCTTCGCTTTTAGAAAAAACTCTGACTCATGTTCTCCTCGTCAGCTTCGACATCTGGATTTCATCGCCCAGTTTAGTACAGATATCAGATATGTCTCTGGTACTGATAATTGTGTCGCTGATGCCTTGTCTCGGGTAAACAATATCAACCTCACTACCCCAGATTTCTCTGAAATTGCAAAAGCTCAATTGCATGATGAGGAACTCAAGAACCTAATCTCAAATCCACAAACCTCCCTTCAGTTACAACCGCTGCACATTGATCCAACGCTTAAAATTTACTGTGACATAGAGAACAATAGAATACGTCCCTATATTCCTGTCAATTTTAGACGTGAAGTGTTTAATGCCTTGCACAATTTGGCACATCCTGGAATCCGTGCCACCAAAAAGCTGATCGCAGACAGATTTGTCTGGCCAGCAATGAATCAAGACATCACAGAATGGACTCGTTCATGTATTAGATGTCAACGGTGTAAAGTATCCCGTCACACTCACAGCCCCATTCAACAATTTAACCTTCCAGCAAGACGCTTTGATCATGTGCACTTAGACTTGGTTGGCCCATTGCCTCCTTCAAATGGTTACACTTACCTCCTCACTTGTATTGATCGGTACACAAGATGGCCTGAAGCCATTCCTATTGAAAATATATCCGCTGAAACTGTAGCTCGAGCATTCATCTCCCAGTGGCTTTCAAGATTTGGCATGCCTACCACCATCACTACTGACCAAGGCCGACAATTTCAATGTCACTTGTTCGCATCCCTCACCTCTCTTCTTGGCATTCGCCATATTCGCACAACACCATACCATCCATCTGGAAATGGGATGGTGGAACGCTTTCACCGATCTCTCAAACAAGGTCTGAAGTGCCACAGTAGCACACACTGGACAGAAGCCTTACCCCTAGTCTTGCTTGGTCTTCGCACAGCATTCAAAGAAGACATTGGTAGCACTTGTGCTGAAATGTTATATGGTGCAACCCTCCGTCTGCCAGGTGAATTCTTTCACCCAGAATCTACTCCAGTTATCGACCCTCCAACATTCCTTCAACGTTTACGTGAGACCATGAGCAATATCTCGCCAACCCCAGCATCTTCGCAT